GCTCTTGTTATTTTCTACACTTCAAAACTCTGCCCATTACTTTGATACCAGTACTAGTGGAAGATTATCTGAAGATCATGCCAAGGGGTACTAAGCTACTGTAAATTCTACATTACACTGGGACTTTATGATAGATGGGTGAACAGTAGGCAAAAACTGAGTGCCACCCTAAAGCAGGGCCGGGCTGGCCACTGGTGTCACGAACGCACCCTACTTCAAGAGTGTGCGTGACGTAGTTGTGGTGCTGAAAGAGTTAAAGTTCACCATTTGTCAGCACTAGCCTGGAAAAAAATGACAAAATCCCCCTTAACACCACCCACACTTATAAAAAATAATATATCTATTACTATTTTAACGCTGCCACCACCAAGACAATTTATAAATGGGGTGCCTTGGTCCCCCAGGTAAATCAATAATATAATCCCACCAAATAAAACTTCGCACAATATTTAAGGAATTGCAAGAATACTAATGAGTCTCTTCAGGTAACGTGATGCTTTACCAGACAAAGGCAGAATTTAATAAAGGAATATTTATTATGAGCAAAAAATAGTCACAGTCCATACAAAAACACAGATGACAAGCAAATTATTTACACCAACAACACATAAAAACAAAAGGGATAACATAACAGAAAGTCCTAATCACTTACTCAGCTCTTCAAAGTAAATACTTCTGCCCCATGGGGTCTATGGTAGGAAATATGGTGACTCACTTAGAATTAGATTCTGGCCCCAAGTAGTACACAGACATTTCGGTATCATTGGATATATACCCTGTGGATTACCACGCCTGGTCTAGAGGTGGAGTTAAGGCTTAACTATAGAGATAATGAGTGACCACCTCCTTGTGTTCCAGACCAACATCAATCCAAATGGAAATATTTGGTTCTATCTTATCTTATGTACCCGCCACAGAAATAATAATTGCATCTATGAATTTGTTATTATTTTCCCTTCCTATACATATGTTGCATGCCTTATTTGCGATCCAATATGGCAGACATCACAATTCCTTCCCCTATAGTTAAGTTATGACACTCATGTTTTGGCTTGTTTAGAAGATGGCGCTTATCCCATTCCAAATATAACAAAAATAATTCTTAATTATTATTCTGTGGGTAAATATTAATGTTTTTTCCTTTTGGATTTGATACTGGAACAAGGGTAATGGCCATTAACATACCAAAGAGATTGACCCATCAATTAAAAAGTACATGCCATATGGCTGAGCCAGACATTCAGGCTTTTCCAGTGTAGAATCTCACACCTTGCAGAGCCTTTGAGTAATCACAGGATCCATTCATAGGATAAAACCCTTTTCACATTCCTATGCAATTTACATTACCCCTTCTGTAATCTGACCATTCATACAATCAAATTAACCCTTTTTGACCTTGACAATATTCCATCTCTACCAGACAGGCACTACCCAAATTACATTAAAGGATAATTTTCCATAGTGTAATAACGAATTATGCACCCTAGGCATGATAACTGGGAAAATTTCAAGTGGACCAGTATACCTTTGGGCCATTGACCAGCATGGCGCATTCGCAGGGTAACCGGCAAGAACACTTCCCTCCTGCTGGTCACAAAATGTAGCATGGCAAAGCCACTTACGACTGGTAGTGGTTTGTTCCCCTACCTAATCTGACAGCACTGGACTGCTTCCTGCCAGACCACATAGGGGAGCAACAGTAGATCTATATATATATTTTAATAATAAAGTTTATTGTATATATTTATACATAGATATAGTCCCATTTTTTATCTTATTTTTATCTTGCTGCTGCTGCTCAACCATATTGCATTCTGCATTTCCTAGGTGGGAACCACCAGAGCTGAATATTACCAGAGCAGGTCATTGCTCTGGAAATCGTAAGTAGGATACTATCTTTCCACTATTTGTTGTTTGCTATACTGCACCATTGGCTTTTTTCTGTTCCATTTCTCCTGCATGGTGAATGAATACTGGGAGTTTATTGCATTATATACCCACACATCCCAAGTGTTATACAGGAGAGCTCTCAGTAGCTCTAAAAAGTGTGAGTCTTTTATATATAGACTTTTATAAAGTGTACCCACAAATTCTCTAAAATAGATGTGACATATTGCACTATTGTTATTTTTTTGTTCTGTTTTTATTTTTGAGGTTCTGAGGACTGAAGCTGCTAATTGTTGACCTCCAATATGTATGTATATATATATATATATATATATATATATATATATATTTCACTTTAAGATTAGACACAGCTTCTCTGTATAAATCTTTATTTTTGACGAAGTCTACCACATTTCTTTTTGTAACGTTTCATTCAATTAGGTTGTACATGGATATACCTGGCATACCTCCTGCGTTTATACAGTCCTCGCCACACCTCCACTGGCTGAGACTCATGCAGCCAGCATGAAAAAAATATTTATTTTTACAACACAGTGTGTTTACATTGAAGTTATTGTCTCCTGCTATGTTAATTTAACTTTAATCACACACAAATGACTGCTGCAGGCTGTAGCATGCAAGTAACAGAGGAGAAAACAAGAGATGCTAAATAAAACACACTCTGCTGTAAGGGAATATAAAAAAAAAAAATAGACTCTTTTTCAGGAAACATAGATGGAGGCTGTGCCAGGAGAGGTGTGGATAGGGCTGCATAGATTTTGTAGCTATAAAATGTCAGATAATTTAGCAGTGAGACTACAGGGGCATGGTCTATGCAGCAAA